TTTTTATTGATATTAGTTTTAGCTTTTTTTAGTTTTATTTTTATTTGAACCAGGTCATGAATTGAGTTTTACACAGCATATACTTAACTTGCTCAACTCAGTGAAAAGATCAATGAGTTTAATAAGTTTAATTGTGTTTATATCTAGTCCAAATTTAAGAGCAAGTTGACACATTTTTGTATGTTAGAAATGTAAAAATGATAAATTTAAAAAGTCAACTTATGAGTTATAACCAAGTTTATATATAGTCTGAGTTTATGAATAAATTGATGCAATTTTATAAACTAAATGTAAAATTAATAAACTCAAAGATTGAACTCGTGAATTTGACAATAATGACGAGTAGTAGTACTCTAGTCTCATCGAGTCTCTCTGATCTCCAATTATGAAAACATCAATCTTTCTTCTTCTTCTTTTTAATGAAAACATCAATCTTGATTCTTGAATATCACACAAAAATATCGGATAAATAAATAAGATATAAGAAAACAAAAAACCTCCCAACCACTTTTCTATCACATTTGTTTCGAAAGATTGTTCAAAGTTAAATATTAATCTAATAGAAATGACCAGATCAGTTGGTATTTGAGACGGAATATTGTGTCTCTTTCGGGGATTTTATTTTTTTCCCAAACTTTTCTCTTCCCTCAAGGGCAGATAATTCAAATTTATTCTGAATTAAACTCAGCTTCATACACACACATTCCCTAGTTTTCTTCATTTATGCCTTCAGCTTCGAATCCTCCTTCCTCAGATGAGTGTAAGGGTAAGCCGAAGCTGCTAGTCTTTTTTATCCAGCTTATAAGTGATGGTTTTAAAAGTCTTTTAATTTTTAAGCCCAGCTCTCGTCCATGTTTGTCATGCTTCAAGATCTCCCTCCTCCAATCTTGAAATTTGCACCATTTTCTTTCTCTTGGTTGTGGGGTAGTGATATCACAAGCAAAGGTCCAACACCCAGCAATGTCAAAGTTGATAGTGGAGCAATAACAAATGAGGATTGAATGGCAGCCATTGATTTCCAATCCCAATATCTCTTGTCATTTCCAAAACCAAATGTCACAGATTCACAGTAGAGAAATAAGGCATCCTATTATCACTATAAACATGATGAAGTATAGTAGTTAAATGAAGAAACCCAATATTCAATGGTTGCAAGGCCCGCAAGCTACAACAATAAGCAATTTATTGAGAGATAATTGACAGCAACATGAAGGATTGAGGTGGTGCATCCACTAATTTAAGAAACTTGGTCTGGGGCAAATATAATACGGCAAACTCCAAGTAACAAGCTCAAATGGAGAAAATGAATGCAGGGAAACGCTTTAGAGCCCAAACCTCAAACTCTATTATTTGGTAAATCCAGCTAGAAATAAAAAGTGAAATACCCGGATTGAAGATCATCTACCAGGAAATCCTCGAATACACCCTATCAGTGCCAGTACTGACCCTTGAAAAGAAGAAACAAAAAAAGTGTGAAAGGAAATTGAGCCTAAGGGCATAATCCATAAGTTCTTCTCCTTGAACAGAATCAAACCAGCAATGTTTTATCTAAGGAAGAATAAAATACATAAGGTCAGTCATAACACCAAGGAAGAAAGTTGGGGATGGAAGAAGGAAAATGGATTCCATATCATCGCTGGGCTGCATCAAACTTGAACCCTTAATGGTGAGATTGTGAATCACTAAAAATGACGAAAACCATCTCTTCATCATTATCGTCATTGGTTGGCAGCATGGTTGATTCGGTAGGATGATTACCCTCGACTTGCACTGTAACGACTAATGATTGCTTTAAATCAGGAGTACCCTTATCACAAGGTTCAGATGGATTAGTGACCAATGACTTCTACACACTCAGATTTTTTTTTTTTTTTTATTAGCTGTTGTTGGCGGTGAATAATTGACATTGTGGCCACTCAGTGAGAGTTGGAGGCCTCGGTTAACAGATTGAGCAAGTTTCTTAGCTTCCCATAGATTTTACCGTCTTTAAAGCTTAACTCCACTAGCTACTTCAGGCTCAAGAGGCCTTAAATAACAGTTCAATTGCAGATTCTCAGGTAAGACTACCTTACCAATGAGTTTGTCAAACCAAACCTGAAACTCAACCAGCATTCCCATTTGTTTCATTTGCACAAGCTCCCTCATCAGATCCTCGTCTCGATTTGAGTTGAAATTGGTGAAGGTAGTCTTCTGAACCCACTCATCATCGAATGTGGATGAAGAAGAATTATTGTTGGCCATTGAAGCGACCTGCTTTGATACCATTGATAGGATTAGAAATACAGAGCAGAGCAAAAGAACGAGCAGAGCAGAAGATAGAAGGCATAAGGAGATGAAGAAGGCGAAGGGGAAGAGAGAAATTCGGGAATAGGTAATCTCATTAACAATATCGATAATTCTATAATGAATTACAACAAGAAATATAACGTCAGCAATTAATAAAAAGACAAAAATAACCCAATGCTCTAAAATAAAAAAACAAATCGTATCAGCCGTTCTTTGCTGTGGTGGATTATGTGGCATTTCAATTTCCTACTCATGTTCTGTGTCATCACCATCTTCCTCTTCTTTAAGTGCTGTCGTCGACGATCAAGAGGAGGGAAGCTCGAAAACTCTTCTGTTCACTCCTATGCTATCTCGTTGATATGTTTGGATCCATTTCCTCCTTCATTTTTCCGCACCACTAGGTTCTCTCTCTTTCTCCTTGCTCGGTTATGGCTGAACTAATATGAGGAGTTTTGAATACTCTTTCTTGTTGGATCTGTAGGTGTGTATGTGTGCTTGAATGGTTGGGGTTACAATTCTTTTTGTTTGCTATTACTATGCATGGTTAAGAACGGAAAGGGAGTTTTGAGTCTAGTTGAAATATTAATCTAAAGAGCAAGATGGCAGGTGGGTTTGAACTTCCTTTAAACTTAATTGATCTTTGGTGGGAAAGTTAAATTTGAAAAACAAGATGAATTTGATTATGGATGTTTGGAATTTAATCTGTTGGGCAGGAGACTAAAGGTTAAGAGAAAAGCTCTATTAAATGGTTTGAAAATTCAAGCACATAAGGTGTTTGAAATAAGGCCTAAGTGAAAATTATATTCCAATTGCGTAATTATCTATGATTAAAATCAAATATGAAAATTTTGAGATATATAAGATAATGACGATGTTGGGAAGGAGTTTACTTAATTTTATAGCAAGTCTATTGCAAAATTTTATATATGCTTGATAGGTTTTCAAAAAGAAAAAAAGAAAGCTTGATTGAAGTAATAAGAAGAAAATTTTATAACTTGATAATATATATTAAGTAAGTAAATAACATTTAGTTCTATATGAATTAAAGGTGATGATCTTATTATTATTATTATTATTATTATTATTATTATTATTATTATTATTTATTTGAGCTTGATTGCATAAATAGAATTTTTCCTTAATTTTTTTTATGTTTATATATAATATGGAGCCTTGGAAAATTCAAGTTGAAGAGTGTAGGTTTTACAAGATCTGAAATTATTGATATATATATATATATATATTTTCATATAATATTTTTCTTTCCAGAATATATTATTCATGCATGGATTGAACAATCTACAAATGAAAGGATAAGTAGCCATTATGAATTTATGAACAATTTGAACTGTAAGGATATTTAAATTCCATGCTTGTCAAAAATATTTTATAAGACTGAATACAAAACACTAATTGCTAATAACAGTTTTGGCCCTTGACATATTATAGTACACTTAGCTAGTAAGATGCATTAGAGATACTAGTTTCATTTGTCTACCAACACACTTGGAATAGAGGATGCAACTTTGTGAATATAATCTATGCTTATTATTCATGAGCTTTATGTTTATACCTGTTTTTCATGATTTCTTGCCACACCAGATATTATTTACTCTTATAAATTGTGTGTCTATGCCTATTATTTGTTCTGTTTAGGTCTTAACAAAAAGCATAGTTTTCCAAGTTATACTTTCACTTTCAAAATGATGAATTTGTATTTTTTTTATAAATTTTAAGAGATTGAAAATAAATTGTACTATTATCTATCTAGCACCATCAATAACTAAACTAGTTATTTCTTTCAAGTTTTAGATGTTCATGGTTATTGTTTATATTATTATTATTATTATTATTATTATTATTATTATTATTATTTGAGGATATTATTTATTGAAATAATTTTTGGTATACAAATAATAGAATTAGACCTTATTTTCAATAGACCTCGTGTGACTCCTTGAGGCAAGAAGCATTTTATTACTCTAGTTACCTTGTGGATTAATGCAAATATTAAAGCATTCTATTTTGCTCTAGAGTCGCTTCACGAATTATATAGACGACATTCTTGTTTTAAGTATTTTGGCATATATGTATATATACTGATATGGAGTAGAACTTTGTATGCTATCTGGATATATTTTTGCCAATTGTAGGGATTTCAAGAAGTTCAATTTGCAAGGAAGACTCTGTTGAAATTTTTACAATAGATTAAATATTTTCTAACTACTAGCTTATGGTTATGGATATGAATCATGCTAGTATGATAATTTATAACTATTATATTAGGTGTTCTATGGGCTTAGGCTTATAGAATGTAACTTTTTTCTTCCTTGTATTTCTGCCGGCCACACCTTGAATTTTTGGGGTGTAACACAAATAGTAGCACAATTAGTACTCCTACATTCTAGAGTTGAATGGGATATATCCTAATATTTTTGTCATCTTTGTAAAACTTGCAATGGAGCTAATGAAGCAAGGGGCCATGATGACTATATCAAATAAGCATATTTTTTTAACTAACTGATGTCATTTTTAACTTGCAATAGATTGGTGTGATAACCCATAATTCTTAAGAAAAATTTAAAAGAAGTAATGATATATTTTAAGAGTATTTTTGTTAGTTTTGAGAGCAAATTTAGCAAGAAGAAGAGCTGTTTTAGTGGAAATTATGCAATCAATTATTTAATCGGTCCACAGTTCAAATCTTCCAGGGCCAACAGTGAGAAATTTTATCCTTTTGCCAAATTATCATTTTGCCCCTATTAAAAAAATAAATAAATAAAAGAAGGCAGACACGCAGGGGCATTATTCATTTTCATCCTCTGCTTCCTCATTCTCTCGATCATTCCAGTGAGGTGAGAGTGTCGGCCCTTCTCTTGAGATCTCCTCGCCCTCTTCCTGTTTTCGATCAGCTCGCCGGCATGCTTAAGAGTGTTCGCTGTGGTTCCTCGTTTCTTTCTTTTCTAGCCACTGTAACAGATCGAAGCTTCCTTCCTCCTGTCATCACCGGCGTCATTTGTGAGAAGAGGAGGTCGCTGGAGACGGGGTGCATGGACGAGCATCTTGTAGCTGCTGTCGGAGGTTGCTATCAGTCTCCTCTTTTCCCTTCCTCCATCATAACTATATCCAGGAAACAGAATTTTTCCCTCCCCTGTTCTTCACTGTGTTCTTCTTCTTCCTCTTTTGTGCTGTTGGTGGTTTGTGGGGGTAAGAAGCTTTGATCTCTCACTTCTTTGTTGCTGCGTGATATGTTTATGGGTTGAGATTGTGAGTTTTTCCTCCATTTTCCGCAGAACCGTGAGTAGTGCAAAGTGGAAATTTGATTTCTCTTGAGTATAAAAAAAAAATTATTATATGTGCTGAAGGATTTAATTAGGAGAGTTGGATTATTTTAATTACTGATATTAGAAAATTTGAGAAATGAAATTTGAGGGAAAGGAAGTTTGGTAATTGTTAGAGGATTCATGCTCACAAGATGTTTGATAAAATGTCCCTTAGGAGAATTTTACTTGATTTTATATGTTTTTTTTGAAATTTCATTAATTATTGTGAGAAGTATATTTAGTTGGGTGTCATTGATCCATGAATTTAACTTGTAGGTTGCAAATTAAAGGAATTTGATTATGAACTTGTATGTAAATGTTTAAATTTTTAGGGATAGTATGGTTATTGATAAATTGTTGGATAAAAGGTGAAAAGTTAAAGAATTCTAAGTGTATGGTCGAAAATAATGCACAAAAAAAAAATGTTTGATACAAAGTTTAAGAGAAGTAAATAAGTTGGTATGGCTAAAGTATTATGGAGGAAATTAGTGACATGAATGATAATATTTCGACATTGTTATTTGTAAATCTAGATTGTTTCTTTTCCTTTTTGCAAAGGATTTTATTTAAAAAGTTATTGAGATCTTATCTGAACTCTAGATTATTGGGAATTGCAACGTTGAAACTTTGTAAAGTATATTATTGTTTTAGAAGTCATACTTGGATGATTGAAAATGGTTGGGCAAGAGAATTAAAGGTTATATGTTTTATTGAATTGGATTGGAATGTTGCACATTATATGTTTGGTAAAAATATATATATATATATATATATGTTGCTAAAACTTCAAAGTTTTTATTATTAATTTTTATTGAGTGGATTCTCTTCAAAAGAGGGACTAGTTGGTTCAAAAGTAAAGGCCATTAAGATCTTATTATATTTTATAGGGTGATTATAAGAAGGGTAACTCGATTGGAGTTGTAAGAAGTGAATTTCAAACATTGAAAGCACTACAGGTAAGTGGATAGCGTCCCAATTGATGTTTCATTAAAATCTCCTTTATTCAAATATTACATTTTTATACAAATCCTTTTTATAGCAACAATGTGATTATTAGATATTTTGTTGATTAAAGTATTTTATTTTTGTGAAGTTATCTTTACCAGATTTGATAATTTTATTTTATCAAATATTGGATTGATACAGAGAATGATTCTTGCGAGTTCAACTTTGAAATTTTTTGATTATTTGATAAAGGCAAGCATGAGCGTTGGATATGAAATTTTATTCTGGAAAGTTTCAATGCTTAAAAGTATCCATGCGAGTTTGATTTTGAGAATGAGAACTGTATCTTGAAAGTGATGATTTTCTCGCATGTTTGAAATGATTTTAAAAAGGGACTTTATATAGAACACTGGTTGCTAACGGCAGGTCCGTTAGCCCTTGGCGCGCCATGGTACACCTAGCTAGCAGGGTGTTTATAGGAGGTGCTAGCCCTGTGCGATGGCCAACGCACGTGGAATGGAGGGATGGTTATTCGTGAGCATCGTACTCACATTTGATTTCGTGGCTTTGAGCCGCGTTTGGTTATCATTACCCTCGTGGATTGTGTGTCCACATTTGTTTCGTAGCTTCGGCTGCGTTTGGTTACTTATCCTCGTGGACTGTGTGTCCACATTTGTCTTCGTGGCACAAGCCGCGTTTGGATTATTTACCCTCGTGGACTATGTGTCCACGTTTGTTAATTGTTCTGATAAGTCCCTATAATTATAAATTTGATCATTTGGTGATTTTATATTCCGTTGATTTTTATTTAGTAATTTATTTACAAATATTTATTTCATTTATGTGACTTCTTAAAAATCAAGTGATATTACCATTTGCTATGATAGTTCAATGGTTCAAGATTTTATTCAAAATTTTATAGAATCATTTTATTTTAAAGTTTATACATTTTTTAATGGAAATTGTTGTCCCTTTAATTTACATGGTTATTTCAAACTTTTCTTTTTACTCATGTTAAATTATTTATTGTTGGGACGTTATTCACTGGAAAATTATTTTTGGTCTCAGATACCTTAGTTGACGTTGATCCTCATGCTGATCTTGAGAGCTGTTACACATGCTGAGTGGAGAGTTCATGAAAGTCCCTCCTTTTGATGTAATGTCAATTTATGTATGTTTCACTTCAAAAAAAAAAAATATAACTAGATGCTCCACATAGACTATAGCTAGGGTTTTTATTTAATATATATATATATATATGCTGATTGCTAGTTGGGAGGAGTTGAGCTCCCAATTGATATAAGATTTTTATGGAAACTTTTGTATTGTAGAATCTTCGTAAGATCCTATTTACAGGTGAGGTTTTGTCAAAATTTCTACCAAACGTCGAATGCTATGTTATAATGATTAATATTAAAATAGATCCGATTATTTTAGAAATGGAATTAACTTATGAATTGAGGCTTACGGGAACGTGTGACATGGTTCACACCTCGTGTCGGTCACTCTCTATTTTTGGGACGTGACAATTGGATTGGGTGTGATTCAACAAATGCAACATGTCTGTCCTAATAGCAAAGGAACTGGTCATTGAAACTTAAAACCTCACCTTTCTTAAGTTGCTTTTTGGTATTTCAACTTCTACATCTCATCTTCATTGTTGCAAGTGAGGTCAACAGTAAGAGAGACAAACACCCTCAATGCAAGTGAAACAAAGTCACTCAGGAAAAGAAGGTACTAGAGATGCATGTTGAGAAAGGGATGCAATAGGTTCAAAAGATTGTGTTTGAAAGGCAAGTTGATGATCTAGTGGCTAATTTCCTTGATAAGGAGGGACGGTAGGATATAGCAAAGATGAAGATTTGGTTGCCTAGTCATGTTGCTCACTAGATTGTTTGCATTCAATTCCTGAGAGTTGAGTGTGGATAGGATTCATTTGTTTGGAAACCATCTAACGATGGTTCCTTTAATGTTCGATCTGCCTATGAGTTTCTTATTGCAAGCACCAACTTGATCTCGGGTAACAATTGGTGTAGAATTTGGAGATGGAAGGGTCCAAAAAAGATCAAGACACTCCTGTGACTATTCGAGAATAACAAGGTCCACATGGCAGAGTTAAGAGCCAAGCATGGTTTGCTTTTATCAACAAGTGGCCACTTGGTTGCAATTGTACAAAAGATGAGCTACATTTGTTCAGGAGGCTATCCACATGCAGAGGAAAGATGGAAGTGGCTGGTCAAATAGGAACATTGGAGCCATTTCAAGGGGCCTAATCATGAAGATTGGATCTCTTGGAACTTCAAGAAAGCTAAGCAAAAGATTTCACCAAGCATGTAACTTGGGATATTTTGCTTTGACGTGTTTGCTGGGATATATGGTTTGATAGATGTCAAGGAGCTTTTGCTAATAAAGGAGTTGAGAAAATGGGGTTTGGTTTTGCTACTCTTCAGAAAGCTAAAACAGATCTGAGTTTATCTCTAGCTTCATATAGTCTGCGCAAAAAGCCAAATAAACCTCTCAATAGTTGGAAAAGACCAAGGGTGGGCTTCATTAGATTTATCAAATTATTTATCATCGGTGCAATGTACAGGGTTTGAATAATGTTGTCTATTTTTTTTAAAGGTTTGAATAATGTCAAAATTGATGAAGAGTTAGGCTACTTATTACCAATGTCTTCTTTTTAAAAACAATACTTCATGTGATCTTATTTATAAATCACTTTTAATATTTTTATCAAAATCAAGGAATACCTTAAACTCATTAATTTGTATAAAAATTCAACTATTTTTAAACTTTACCTTTGTTAAATATACCTACTCTAAAAATAAAATACTCCAGTATTTAATAACTTTCCTAACATTGAATAAGGGTAAAAGAGTAAAAATAGATATAATAATTATTGAAGTGCTCTATAAATAGGACTAGAGGAGTAAATATTTTCAGCTACATTAATAAATACAAATAATTTGAAATTAAGACAAATTCTCGTGTTCTTTACCGTCTTACTATATGGTATTATTATTAATTACAAAACTATTACTAATAATACAAATTTTAAGAATAGACACCTAAAATATAATTTCCAATTGTTCAAGCATTATTTAATCAATGTTTGAAGTTGTTAAAAATTCAAATAACATAAATGGTTCATTATCATTGAAAATAATTTAAATCTATGTAGTCTTTAATTTTATAATCTATAAGCAAAAATGCTTATGCATGGTAAATTTAATTTTATATTAGCTCTGAATGAATAAAATATTTTGTTAAAATTTTATTTCATCTGTTGTACCTACTCAAATATATATGTTTGACATCTTATTTATTATAATTGATACTGTAATCTGGTTTGATTAGTACCCTTGCGCGGGCTTTGAGTCTATTAGTCATAAATTTTAGTATATCCATCTGTGATGATAATGATATATTGGCCTATTAATATATTAAGTATTAATTGTATCAAAATTAATTCTTATACAAATTTCTCAAATTAAATCACTCCAAAAAGATTATCAAGAAATATCTTATACCATTAAATTTAATATTTAAAAATAAAAAATAAAAACTTTAATTTCATAATAAAATTTTCAAAAGCATGTTCGATTTTTTTTTTTTCAAGACCAATAAGTAAAAGTGTATTTTTCTTTGATTTTTCTCTGTTTATATAAAGATAGCCTTTATTAGATAACCATCTAAAAAATTAAATTTAAAATTTTATTATAGCAAATCTAGTTTAATTTTTTTAAGATTATGATGAATAATTTTAATAGTTTAAAAAAAATCTAAAAGCAAGATAAATTAATCAATAAATAATGATAATTATTTTTTTATGATTATGATGAATAATTTTAATAGTTTAAAAAGATGCTAAAAAAAGATAAACTGATCAATAATAATGATAGTTAAGATTAAGTAGTATTTTTTAATTTGTTGAACTAGCATGAAAAACTGTAAATCAACGTGTCATGTTAAGTTAGGTTAGCAGTTAACTTATTCAAGAAATTAATTCATTTTACAAGATACATATTTGAATGAGTAATATATAGGTGATATATATTTTATTGAGCTTAAATATTGTTCATTAGAATATTTTTTGATTAATATTAAAATTATTCAAACAAAGATAATCAGATATCATTATCTTCAAACGAACAAAAAATAGATAAACATCGTTTATCTGCAAATTTTAAATTGCGAATCCCCTCAAATCACTATGTATATATACATATGTGTGTGAGTGTGTGTAGAAGAATCCCACACACTCAGCCATAAAAAATTCCGTCCTAGCTGCACTCAGCCATAAAAAATTCTGTCCTAGCTACTCGAATGGAACATCAGATTATCTCTATTCATCGTACTTTACGTGATGATTCTTGTGCTTCTACTTCTTCGGCCAGACCTACGTATGCTGCTGTTCTTTCTAAGTCATTGCATCCGCCAGCGATGGTGGCTGAAGCGGCATCTGATGTTGCATCTTCTCTTTCTAAGAACCTTAAGGGTGAGGGGTCAGAGTCATCATCCGAAGGTTTGGCCGAAGAATCCTCGCCTGTGCTTGTGCAGGTTTGTTTTATTTTCTTTTGGCATATCTTGTTACCTGATGTTAGATCAATTTCAACATATTTTAATATTTTAATTTTCAATTATACGTAGGATTCTCAAAGTCAAAGTCAAACTTCCACCGCAGAGAAAGATGCCATCACTGTTGATGACACTGATCAGAAGCAAGAAAGCCTAAAGGACGATGTGCCGTTCAACAGCCAGGCACAGTCTACAACTCAAGGTCCCATGACAGTGACAGGGCCCCACAATAATACACAAAGGTTTGCTGGAATAACTACTGGATATGGATCAAAGATTCGTAATGCTAACCTTCCTCCACAACATCATGGTAGGATCAATCAAAATTGGAACACTCGTAGGAGTTTTCATGGTATAAGAGGAGGCATCCATATGCCACCTAGAGGCCCTATAATATATGCAAGGCCACCTCTGCAGCCTCCACCACCACTACCACGTCCGCCATTACTGACTTCTTGTCCTTATAACCATTTGCACCCATCACCGATGTTGGCACCGGTGCCGCCGCCACCTTATAATAAAGGCCCCTATGGATTCTCTGCAGGTATATGTAATCTCCTTCTAATAATATGTGAATGCCTTTAAAAGTTAATTTTTATAAATGAAGAGTGACTACTCAGGATGCTAATAAAAGTCAAATTGTATATTTCTAGTTTTCTTGGTAATCAAAATTATAATTTTGCATGCTAATTGCTAACCATGTGTCCTATTTATTTACAGGATTGGGTCCTCATCATTTTCCATATGGTGCTGTTCGACGACCTCCTATTTGTGTTCAAGCACCAAATCCCGCGGACCTGTATGATAAAATTGTAGACCAGGTTGATTTCTATTTTAGGTAGGCCTTCAATATATATAATTATATATATACATGAATTTACTTAGCATTAGTCTTTTATTTTTATTTTTATTTTTCTTTTCATCGTTTTAACTATTCTAACTGTCATATAACATATATACTTAATTTGTGATCTTTTGCAGTTTTAATAACCTGGTTAAGGATATTTATCTGCGGAAGCAGATGGATGATCAAGGTTGGGTTCCAATAGGAATTATAGCATCTTTTCCAAAGGTAATATCTTTATTTGCTTGCCTTTTATATATTATACATTGCTTTTTCCAATTTTTCTTGTTATGAAGAAATAATGTTTTTTGTTTCATCTTTTCTCGTTGAGTTCAATCTTAAAACTTAACTGTGCTGGATTTTTTTTTTTGCATTTATATACATTTTACTAAATGCTTTAGGCATTTTTATAGATAGTGTCATTTTTTTAATATAGAAGAAATCTTAAATTCAGAATTAAATTTAAAATAAACTAAATCTTAAGATATGGATAGATCCTATAAATCCTAATTATTTAACTATATATTTATATCACAGATAATCTGAATATCCTAATAAAATTAACCTAATTAAGTTAAAAAAAACACTAATAAGTAACTATGATTTCTTTCATTTGTTACCCTCCCTCCTTGTGTATATATGTGTGTGCCTTATAAATATTGTATATATTTTTGTAGCATTTATTAACTGACGATATTTTTATTTTTCTTACCTTTTCTCTCAGGTCAAACAATTGACTGGCAATGTCCAGATTATAGCAGATGCTCTTAAAGCGTCTTCAGTAATTGAAATTTTGGTATTTTTTTCCTTGCATTTAAATTGTTATAGAGTTATATATATATATATATATATACCTACATGCATTGTTTAAATAATTAACAATTAGCTTATAGAATTAATATGTGATTAAACATGTGTTTCAAATTTCCATCATTATAATTACATATATTATAATTTTGTTAATTAACTAATTATTTTTTCCTCTTATATAGGATGACAAAATCAGGTTACGTTCAAA